TTGCCCAGAAGCTTCTCAGCTTTTTTAAAAGAAGAGACGGCTGAGCTCCCAGGCCCCGAATCCAGATGTCCCTGTGGGTCTTCTAACCCAGACTCAGGGACAGGGCTCGACCCCACACCAGTGTGGCTGAGGACGGGATGCAGCCGGCCATCTAGAGTCGGTGGGAGGCACAGTCAGCCCACCCCACTCAGATGGGCCCACAACATCCACCTGCAGAACATCGCCGCCCTGCCACACGCCTCCAGGGCTCCCCAGAAAGGCCCCCAAGTGGCCCTAGGGCTCAAGAGCACCCCAAGGTGCAGCCAGAGTCAGAGGCCTCAAAAAGCAGCTCTGGCTGCTCCTGCCAGGCCCCAGCCCAGGTGCGGCAGCTGACGCCAGGTGCCGCCGGTGTGACATGAGACTGGCCATGAGGCACCATCCTTCTCCATGAGCCACGGGGGGTAGCAGACCCTGCACCACCCTGGCCAGGTGCCACCACCACCAGACCCCTGCTGGCTTCCTGCCTGCACCAGGAGGGTGACAAGAGAGAGAAGAGTGTCCCGCTCTTGCATCCCAGGGTGCCCTTCCCCATCACTTGGCCCTGAGAAGGGCATGGACGCTTGGGGCAGCCTTCTCCTGGCTCATGGCCTGGGGGGAGGTATCTGTGCCCTGCGGGGCCAGGACAGGCTCCCCAGCACCTGCTTCCAGCATTGCCCCGCTGCAGCCTGCACGCAGCAGGGTGCGGCCTCAGCCTTCGGCTCTTCTCAGGGGTCACCTCAGAATGAAGCCATCACTGAAACCCAAGAAAGCATCCAGCCACAGGTAGCTCACACACAGGCACAGATACCACTGCACACGCAAACACCATGCCGTGCACATATGTGCACACACCGTGCACACACTGCTGCAGACAACAGCACATGCACAAACACCACACTGCACATGTACACACACATGCACTGCACATTCAACACACACATGTGCACACACAAAATTAGCCACATGGATGCACATATGTGTGCATGCACACACTGCAGTGCACACATGTGTGCTGCCATACTGTGTGCACCCTTCTGTGCCCTGAGCCATGTGTGTACCTGTGTGCACACTCCACATGCACACACAAGGTTTCTGCACAGAGGGGCACATAATTGTACACCTGTGGACACATAGGCATGCACGGCCAGCAGCCCTGTGTGCTCTGGGGCTTGCTCTGGTCTCCCTGGCTCCCGTGTGGGAGGAGGGAAAACTCTGCTCAGGCGAAGGCTGAGCTGGGTGTGGGGAGCAAGGGCTGGGCTGGTATGAGCTGGGGTGCGGGCGGCCATGAGTTGGGATGCGGGCAGCCCATAGGGTGCGGGCAGTGCCCCTCGGGGTCTCCTCCCTCGCCGGGCTGTATGCGGAGCTGTGTGGGGCAGGCACCTCAGTTGCTCACTCGCCTGCTTTGCAAAGAGGCGGCAGGGGGAGGAGCCGCTTGCCGGGCTGTGGGAGAATACCCTGGCCCTGGATGGGGTTCACAGGGGATTCAGGCTGGAGACCGAGAACTTTTCCAGCTGGAGGTACTGATGCATCTCCGCACCAGGAGCTCTGGAGTCATCTTCCGGCCCCAGAGGGTTTAAATGCCTGCTCAGAGCCGGATACGAGAGACAAGGATGACCCCTCACCAGGGGCGGGATGCGACGGGGGTTATGCCACAGACACTGTGTTCAAGCAGGCAGGCTCCCTGCAGGCTCTGTGTACCCAGAGCCCTGCACCCACTGTGGGGCCTCTGGAGGACCACACACTGACCAGTATGGGTCACACTGGAGCCACAGGGCCTGAGCAGCTGCGCTTCTGGGCCCAAGGAGGTCCTGACTCCTCTGGCCAGTCACCAGAGACCCCTTGGGCAGGAGGGAGCGCCTGCCATGGGGAGAAGGCCCCTTCAGCATCACCTGCTCCTGGCTGGGCCCTGTGACCAGGAACCTGCAGCCGCAGAGTTGGAGGGGGAGGAGGCCTGAGGTGTCCCTGGGTGTGAGGGTGGCCTGCGTTGGCTGAGTTCGCAGGGGTGGCAACTGTACCTCTGGCCACCCCCACTGCCCCCACCTGCCTGGCTGGAGGCCCCAGTGCTCGGCTCTGCCCGGCAGGACACAGGCTACCCACAAGCAGCTGGCTCCATCACCCGTGTCCAGGGAGCGCCTGGCATGGAGCTGGGCATTGGGAAGTGGGCAGAGGGGGTACCGGGAGGCCCCCTCTATTGACTCCCCATTGCCCTGTCGCCTGCTCCCCCACAAGGAGGCCGTGTGGGCTCAGCTCTGGGGTCCAGGGCACTGTACGGCCAGGAGAGGCTCTAGGCAAGGACATGCAGGGGCTGGGTGGTGTGCACAGCCCAGCAAACCCATCCCCCTCCCCAAGGGCCACAGTGGGGGGGCGGGGCAGAGAGTGGGTGTAGGAGTCTCCCTGCACAGGGGCCACTTTCCTGACACCCCGTGGAAGCTGCAGGGCCTGCCAGAGCCTCTGCTTGGGCTCCCTCGCTGGACATAGCGGCCGAGACATGACGGAGTCCGGTGCCTCCCATCCTAGCACCCAGACCCTCGTTTTCTCCCTCTCAGAAGAGGACAGAACACGGATGTCAGGTAGACATGGTCTCCAGGCGACCATGTTGCTGACCACCTGTGACCTTGGGCTGCTGGGGTGGGGAGTCAGACTGTCCTTGGGAGGTCAGCCATGGAGGACTGGATTGAAATGAGTGTGCCACTGCCCAGGGGCCAGCCCTGACCCCATGTCCACAAGCACACCCTCAGGGGAAGCACAGTCCCGCTTCCCAGAGGCCCCCGCCCTGTGCTCGGGGCTCAAAGGAGCAAGGCACCCCCTGCCTAGCTCACCCTGTGCTTGAAGGGCCTGCTCAGCACCCGTGAGACCCAGTTCTTCAGCGGATCAGGGCAAAGTGGCTGGAGCCCTTCACCGCTCTCCCTATCACCCCAGCTCTGTGCTAGTGTCCACATGTGTGATGGTCATAGCAGAAACCCGTCTCACAGATGGGCACGCTGGGCTCAGGGAGTGCAGGGGCTCGGCAGCCCGGGGCCAGGTGGTGGGGTAAGAGGTGCCACGGGGGCCCCCTCAGACCTCGCAGAGGGTCACCCTGCCTGTGTCTCCCCACAGGTCCCTCCCTTTATTTGGGGAGGGAGGCACAGGTGAGTGGGGGACCCTGCTTCCTTTCTTCCTTCCATGATTCCCTTCTGGCCAGGGCTGGGGAGAGGTATTAGACTCACTGTGTTACCCCTAGGTAGCTTCTCTGAAGGCCCAGCCAGGGACGTGACCCCAAGGCCTGCGAGGGCCTCCGGCATGATCAGTCAGCTGTTTGCAAAGCTTCTGCCCTGCCTGATGGGCAGCAGCCAGGTCCAGACCCACAAAGCTGGCAGCTTTTTCCAATCACCCTCCTTCATAAACTGAGGCTTGGATTTGGTGTGTTGAGATAAGAGGGGAGACAGGGCTGCCTGGATGGGGGTCAGATCCACCTGCAGAGAGAGGATAGCCATGGGCACTTGTGGGAATTGACTGCAGGGGCCAGCAATGAGCAGGGAGGCGGTGGGGGGGGGGCGGGGGGCAGTGTGGCAGAGCCCCAGCCCCCAGGGCACAATGCTGCACTGCGAGGTTGAAAGCAGCACGGACGTCCCTTTGGCAGCCAGAGCTCCCCAGGAGGACACGTTTCTGTGGGTGGAGTGTAACCTGGGTCTTCTCCTGTTCCCCCTTTTTCCAAGACCTGTCAGCCCCAGCTCTGGCAGGCCAGAGCGGCAGCCTGTCTGCAGGGCCAGGGCTGTGGCCGCCAGAGGGCAGTGCGGAGAGGCAGCCTGGGGGCCCTGGGAGGCCTGGCTGCTCAGGTGCACCTCCTCTAAGGGCCCTGGGGCACCCGCCAGCACCCCACCTCCCCAGAGCCTGTGCCCAGGGGCAGAGACACAGACCCTCTGCGTGGGGAGGCGAGGCAGGAGGCCTGCCAGCACCAGAACTCCCCCTGGGTTGTGTGGATAAGGTATGGAGGGCCACCTCTGGCCCCCCAGGGCTCCTGGGTCTGGATGCAGGGGTGCCTCAGGTGCCCACACCTCCCGGAGGCCGCAGAGGGGCTGCGGAGATCCCAGCAAGGCCCAGGTCTGAGACGTAAACAATCAGTGACAGCACCAAACCTCAGCTTCCCGGCTTTGTGGGATCCACTACAGAGGAAACGGTCCCCACCAATTCCGGGTCCCCATCTCAGACCTCGCAGGCAGGCAGCCTCCTCTGCGCTAGGCTCCGGAGGAAGAGGGGCTGCGCGGCCGGCTCGTGACAGGTGATGCTGGGGAGGGGCGCCGCGCCCCACCCTCAGCGCCGGCCCGCCCCCAGCCCCTGCCCGGCGCAGCGCGCCCCTGGCCGCGACCCGGATCCCAGGCCAGCCCCGCGCCCGGGCCCGAAGGTGGCTGTCGGGCAGCCGCTCGGCGGCCGCCCCCTCCGTCGCCGCCCCTTTGTTGACAGCTGGCGGGAGGTCCCGGGGCGGGGCGGGGCGGGGCGGGGCGGGCGCGGGCCGGCAGCGCGGGGGTTAAGCGCGGCTCCATGATAATGAGGCGCCGCTGAGCGGCGGGGAGCGGGTGGGGGGGGGGCGGCGCGCAGTCGCCGGGAAGCTGCGGCCGGAGGCGGGCGCGGGAGTCGGACCGCGGGCGCCCGGCGCCGAGCCGCGAAGACCGAGCCGGGGCTCCCGGAGGAAATGGCCCCGTGAGCGCGCCGGCGGCGGGCGCCGACGGAAGGAAGCCGATCCCGCGGCGGGGCCGGGAAGTCGCGCCGGGAACGGAGCCCGCGCTCGGCTGCGCCGGAGGGACCGGCCGCCCCGCGCCCCGGCGCCCCGCTGCTGCCCGCCAGCCGGCCGGAGACCGAGCTGGGAGCGCGGCGCGGGCGCAGGCCGAGGGCCCGCGGCACCGGGCCAGCGCGGGCGGCCTGCGGGACCTGGATGCGGCGGGGCTCCCTGTGGATCGCTCGGCCCGGTGACCGCGCGCGGCGGACGCCGGAGCCCGGCGCGGACGGGGACGGCTGCACGGAGCGCGCCGCCGAGCCTGGTAAGTGGCAGCGCCCTCGCCCTCGCGCGCCGCGACCCCGGCGCCCCCTGCCCGCGCCCCGCGCGGCCCCTTGGGTGGCGGCCCCGGCGGCGGGGTCCCCGCCGGCCGGCTCGGCCACTTCGCGGGGGCCCTCGGCGGGTGCCAGCGCCTCAGAGCCGCCGCCGCCGGCCGTGCTGCCGGCCCGGCTGGTCGGCCCCGGGCTCCTGGCCTCAGCCGCCCACCCGGCTCCCGCTGCGGACACGCTCTCCTCCCGCCGCCGCGCACCTGCCGCGGTCTGAGGCTTCGGCGTGGGGCGCCAGGGCCGCTGTCCGGAGAGCTGGAGCCTGAAGCGGCCTCCGTGTCAGCCGCGAACCGCGGGCCGGGGTGGCAGGCGCCCGAGTAGGGGCTTTCTCTGAGCGGAGGCCCCGGCGGCCGGCGGCGGCCGGGGAGCAGGTCCTGGGAATGGAGGGGATGGCGCGGAGAGAGGGTCCCAGCTCAGGGGGCTGCGTGGGCCAGCACCCTGCCCCGCCCCCGTGTTGCTCCTGGGAGCTCCGCAGGCTCCCTGCCCTGGCGTGGGGCAGGAAAGGGGGACTGAAGTAGGGCCTGTGGGGTCAGAGGCTCCCACAAGCCCTCTGAGGAGACACCCTCCATGTCCTCCTCTCGCCCCCCCCCCAGCCATGTGGGATCCTGGAAAATTCTAGCTCTTTCATCCCCCCAGGGGCCTCCCACGTGGCTGATGGCTGGACAGTGGGGCAGTCCCCCAACTGCTGACCCGGGCCCTGCAGATGTCCGAACAGGTGTTGGTGCGGGCCTGGTCTCAAACTGGCTCCAGTGGTGGACGTCTCTGGGGGGGCCCAGGGCAGGGTTTCCAGAGAGGGGGCGGGTACGCCAGCACCACCCCCCAACTTTGCCCTGCCTCCAGCAGGCAGCTGGTCCCCAGCCCAAGGAGAGGCTGGCGGGAGGATTGGGTGACCCCGGTAGATGCACAGCTTCCCCATGGCCCGGAAGCTGCAGGGCTGCTGGCCGCCCTCTGCCCCCCCCCCAACCTTCCCCACCCCAGACCTCCCAGCAGAGGGGAGAGCTGACTGCCCCTCTCCACCTCCCCCCCACCCCAGACAGACTTGCCCTCTGCTTGGCCCAGGGAGGGGGAGGAGCGGTGGGAATAGGCTGGAATGTGCGCTTGGCCGCCTGGGCCTGTCGTGTCTCCCCCGCTCCTTCCACCTGGTCTCTAGGTCTTTCCCCCTCAGCCTCATTCCAGACCTGCGGGCCTGCACCCCTGCTTCCCCTGGGTTCCCGGCCCTCCCCTCGGCCCCCAGCACCATCATTAGGGGCCAGTGGTAAAGAGGTAAGGCCGCCTGCCCCCCTGGCCCCCCTCCCCCGCCTCCAGCAAACCGCATCACCCAGGGCAGGTGCCTTGCTGGGCAGTTCAGTGGAAGCGACAGCTGGAGCTGCTGCCCAGGCTGGGGGTCCCACTTGCCAGGACTGGGCAGGGATGGCTCCTCTCTCAGGGCCCGAGGGCCAGCCGCCCTCGGGTAGGGCCGCACTGGGCTGGTGGCCCCCAGGGAGCAGCCCTTGCTGGCAGAGGCTCCCCATCTGGACCCTGTCCTGGGCTGCAGCAGCTGTGCCCAACAGACGCTGGGGGCTGCCTCTTTGGGCACAGGAGGAGCTGCAGGGCAGAGGGGCAGCTTCTGGTAGCCATGGCCTGTGGTGGCTCAGGATGTGCCAGGCCTGTCAGGGCTGCCTTTGGGGGTTAAAGCTCCAGAGGCCCAGGCCCCCACCTGGTGGCAGACTTGTGGCTGGGGGGCAGTCCTCTCTCTAGGCAGTCTCCCCAGAGAGGCGGCTGGGGGAGGTGAGTCCCGTCTCCGGCACACTCCCCCACCCAGCTGTCCCTGCACTCTGGCCGGCCAGCTCCTGTACGCCCCGCAAATAGATCCCCCGCCCCCGTGAGGCCTGGCTCACGGCCCGCCGGTACACTCCAGATAACTGGCCTGGCCAGGGCCGTGGGCGGAGCGTGGGCCGTGGGCGAGGGCCATGGGCCATGGGACCAGGGCTGGGGCTGAAGGGGTGCTGGGGGCAGTGCTGAGCGCCCAGCCTCCCCACGGCCCATGCATTGTCCCCTCTGCCGGCATCGCATGTGTCCCCTGCTGGCCTGCTGAATGGCGAGACCCGTGTGGGAAACCGTTTTTTCACTTAGTTACAAAGATTTCATGGCTGATTAGAACAAGCAAGGGCGTGTGTCCAGTCTGTCCTGCAGTGTCCGGAGGGGCCCGTGGGACAGGAGAGGTCCCTCCTGAGGGCTGGGGCGGTGCCCTCTCCTCGCCCGTGGCCTGGCCCCACTCCCTGGCACTCTGCGCCGCCTCCGGCACCTCGAGCTCCATCTGGAGCTCCAGGCAGAGCCCAGGCGAGAAAGTTCTTTGTTGGGAGCGGGGCCCCGCGGGTGAGAGCGTGATGGGGAGGGCAAGGGGGCGCGGGCTTGGCCGAGCCTGCGGCCCCTGCTCTGGTCACCCTCTGACCCCGACCAGCTGTTCTGGCCTGTCCCCCGAGTGAAGGGCACCACCGTGCCCCGGAGGCACCCATCCCCCTTGGGCCTGGCTGGTGCTGGCCAGGCGGGATGGGGCCTGAGTGAGTGAACAGGACCCCAGTGGAGCCAAGCTCAGGCCCCGGCTCTGCCTGTGGCCCAGCATTCGGGCCAAGGCAGGAGGAGGCCGAGTCCTCCGTTCCTGGTGCTGGTCCCAAGCTGAGGGCTCCAGGGCACCGGGGCTGCTCCCGCTCCTCCGGCAGAGGAGACTAAGAGCCCCAGTGCAGAGCAGAGGCCCTGGTGGCCCTGGTGGCCCAGACCCTGCGGAGGCATGGAGGCCAGAGCCAGCCCAGGAGGGGGGCGGGGTGCAGACCTGGGAGGAGGCGGCCCAAGAGGTGACTGCAGGCGGGTGAAGTTGCAGGTGGTCCCCACTAGAGGGGACTCACAGAGCCAGGCTGGGCCCCAAACTGTGGCTTTTGTGCTGTTTTTTGCCTTTTTTTTTAAAGAAGAAAAAAATAGATGAGACATATTAGACGCCCCAGCTGTCGTGTGCAGAGGCCATGCTGTCTGTCCTGCTGCCAGCGCCGGGCTGTCTGGGGCTGCTGCATGAGGGGCTGGTGGGGTGTGCCCCAAGCAGGGGGCGGGCGGGCGCCGAGGAGGGTCTGCCCGGACGGCAGGCAGAGGGAGGAGGCTGGCTAGACAGTGCAGGAGAGGACCATCTTCTCCAGCAGCAGGAGGGCCGGCCTGGTCCCAGGCCACCTCCCACAGCACCTGTTCAGCCCTTGCGCCCAGCGCACCCCAGGGCCCCCTGCAGAGGGAGGGCAGGGAGGCAGCGGCTGTACCTGTGGTCCCCACCAGGGCACTGCCAATTGCTGCCCCTCACCCGCCCCAGCTCCTGAGAGACGATCCCAGGCGGGGGTGGGCAGCAGCGGGAGCATGGCCCAGGCCCCCCGGGCGCCCCTCTCCTCAGCCCACCTGGGTGGGGACGGTCAAGTCTCCACACGGACACCCACCTACCTGGCTCACCCCAGGGGATGGTGAGGACAGAGGCGGCCCTGAGCACTCCTGGCTGCCAGAGAGGGCCCCTGTAGCCAAGGGGTCAGCGAGCCCAACACACACACAGCCACACACGTGTGCCACACACGTGTGCCACACACACAAACACGTCACACATGTGTGCTGCACATGTACATCCCACAACCAATACACATGCATGCAACACATGCTCCGCATGTGATGCGTGCACATGCCATGAATATGTGTGCATACCTCACAGAAGACACACGCATGCCAGTGAGACTGCACACACACATCACATGAAACACGTGCATGCTCCACATGCTACACATATGCATGCCACATGGTGCATACATATGTCTCACATACAACATAAAAGACACGTGTACACATAAGACACAACATGCATCTCATGAATGCATGCCACACACAACACATTCACAGCTGACATGCATGTGCCACAATAGCATGTGTGAGCACATGAATGTACACACATGCACGGCACAGTGCACACACAATGCATGCACCCGCCACACACATCATGCCACACACATGCATTGGTACACAGCACATGTCTGCACATGTGCACACATGCACAACACACTGTCATGCACAACACATGAATGCACGTGTCAGTGCATGCAAATAACATGTGGCACATGTGTATGCAGTGCATGTCGCACAGGACACTCACACATGTGCACATGCCAGTCTCACATACACATGTAACACAACTCTTGTGCACTGATGCACACATACCACACACATACAACTTGAGCTCACAATGCACACATGCATACAATACACCACACGCCACACAGTGCACCACACACGTGCAGATGCCTCCTTGCATGCACAATGCAGGGCAGAGCCACACGTGCATGGTGCACACAGCATGCTCATGAGGGTGCACACGCCTGGACATGGCCACACATCCCACGCACCATAACACACCCCAGCATGGTGCACGCCCTCTCGCTTCCTGCCCAGTGCACGCAGCGTGAGGAGGTGTGTGCAGTGGAGCTGGCGGTGCCTCCTCCTCCTCCTCTTCCTGGTGTGGGCGGGGGGTGGGTTCCCCAGCACCTGGAGCTGCCCCTCCTCGTGCTGTGGCGCAGGAGGCCCCAAATCAGGGATTGGGCCTGTTTGTGCTTCGACAAGCAGAAGAGTCACGATGTCACGAGGGTCACAGAAGCTTCTAGAACAGAAGACACAGGGAAAGTGCCACCTCCAAAGTGCCCCTCCCCCGGGAGCTCAGAAGTGGGAGCTCCCAAAGATGTCAGTCAGTGAGCAGGTGGGGAGGTCCGGTATCCTAGTCCAGCTGCAACCCCCCATCTGCCCTGACCACGGCTCTCTGGCCCGGTCCCTGTGGGCTCCTGGCGTGTCCCTCGGCCCTGGTGCTGGCCACCACCCCACGAGGTGCTGGGGCTGCCGGTTGTGGCATCCACACATGGCTCTTCATTCCCCTGCCGGCTGCTCCTGGCCGGGT